TTCAAGCTGAGGATGACAAACACTTGTGGAGATCACAATTGTCACTGGGTGTCCTTTCTTTGGCAGAGGGTTAGACTAGAAGATCTCTAAAATCATCTCCAACTTGGATATTCCATGACTTCCTGTTGGTCCAATGCTAATTTTGTTGGCATAGTCTTATTGGAATTATCAAGACAAGACAGCAAGTTAACCAATAGGCATATACGATCCCCATATTAATATTCCCAGACCTGACCTTTCTCTAAGTACAGTCCAAACTGACTTAAATAAACTAGCTGAATATCTTTAATTTAAACTACTTTTCACTCTCTTTTTTGACTAAGCAACAGATCTTGTACTTCACTAGAAAAGTTACTGGGTAAAAAACCTCTGTCTGGCTAAGTCAGAAATAGGTTGCCAGATTTCAAGCAGGTATACTATAATAATAAACAAGAATTTAAAAAATTTTCAGTGGACTGTAAGCAAGCACTTGACACATTTTAAAAATGAATGAGTATATTCTATATGCTCAATGTGGAATACTAAACTGAAGTGAAGAAAGACAGATTCTAGTTTAATGTGGAGATGGACTTTCTCAAAATCAGAATGCCTTGAATATATATGTGATGGGCTTGCTTGGAAGGTGTTCAAGCTAAGGATGATGAGCACTTCCTGGGATGGCAACTATAATTGGGTGTCCTTTCTTGGGCAGAGTGTTAGACTAAAAAAAGCTCTAAAAATCATGTCCAACTTGGACATTCCTGACTTTATATGGAAAACACTCAGCAAAAGGATGACCAAAATATGACTAACTTCTCACAGGTGATTTCAGCCAACATTAAAGCCAGATGAGGACATTATCACTACTTCCTGCAAGTTTCAGGCTATTTTGTTTAAAAAATTGTTTACAGATAAGTTTAAATAAATTCCTTTGCCTTTAATACCTCTGCATATATGTTTAGAGTCATATTAAGGTCATCTAATCCCAAATCTGTTCTCATCATCTTCCCACCAAACCTGCTTCCTCAGATGTTCTCAGATAATGCCAATAACTCAGCTCCTCAAGTTAGCCATTTTAATGTGTTCAGCTACTCTTCATCTATTCAAACTCCACATCCACTTCACCACCACATTCTGTTGAGTCCACTTCTGTAGTATCTTATAACTCAGTAAAGAAGAATTAAATGTGGTGATAAGTCATAAGAAAACCTTAATATATAACTTTAAATCCACTGTATTTTTTTCATTCTTTCATCAGTTCTTGCCAGACCTACTACAAAATACCTCAAAATGATCTAGCTTCAGTTTCTTAAAATCATTACATGTTTCTTTTGAAAGCAGAGCTAGTTTGCTAGAAAATGTGGAATTTATATATAATGGAATATTACTCAGCAATAAAAGAATACAATCATCACATTTGCAGGTAAATGGATGGAGTTGAAGAATATGATGCTAAATGAAGTTAGCAATCCCAAAAAACCAAATGCCAAATGTTTTCTCTGATAAAAAGAGGCTGATTCATAGTGAGGTTGGGAGGGGTGGCATGGGAAAGATTAAACAAACACTAGATAGGGCAAAGGGTAGGAAGGGAAAGGGAGGGGGCAGGGGTATGAAAAAGATGGTGGAATGAGATGGACATCATTACTCTAAGAACATGTATAAAGACATGAGTGGTGTGAATATACTTTATATACATCCAGATATATGAAAAAATGTGCTCTATATGTGTAATATGAATTGTAATACATTCTGCTGTTACATATAACAAATTAAAATAAAAAATAACATTTAAAAAATATTAAAGTGGGAATTAATACTAGTACTCAAAGTCCTTTCTGGTCTGGCCTAAGCAATCCCCCAGCTTCATCTCTCACCAGGACCCCAAGGCATTGTTCCAACGAAATTCTCACTTGCTGTGTCCTGCTCTCTTTGGGATTCTGCTTTTATTTATACTGTTCCTTTGTTCTTCCTTTCCTTATCAGCAAAAACTTCTCTACTTTAGCTTAAAGAGATGTGGGGAAAGAGATCCCATCACATACATTGATCCAGTCTTGAAAAATCAACATACTAATGCCAATGTCTCTGGAAAAAAAAATAATTTAATGTAGGGAACTAAATTTGGAGGACATGCTCCTCTTACTCTACGTGTTGTAAATTGAAGTGATAAGCTTCAGTTAAATAATTCATGAATATGTAGTAATTAGCACAGTGCCTGGCATTAAGCAAGCATTCAGTAACTATTAATTACCATTGCTCACATTTTGATAGGTTTACCATGTGTTGCTACAATAAATAGTTTTTCTATAAGTACTTCAGACAGACCTGACCAAGATCATGGCCAATCAAGTTTCTACAGTTGTGAATTTATATTCTAATGGGGAGAGACACTAAAGAAAAAAATAAAAATATACTTTTGGAGAGTGATTAGGTGAAATGAAGAAAACACAGATGAGGCATTTAAGACAACTTCAGTTCAGGTAGATCAGGGAAGGACTTTCTATGAAGGTAAAATTTGAGTTGTGTGGCAAAAGAGAGTCTGGGATAGTTTCTTAAAAGGAAATACCAAATAAAACTGTCCTATGCTGAGAAGAGCTCAGTGTTACTAACTGAGGAGGAGGAAGCCTAGTGAGGTTGCAGGGTAGTCAAGAAAAGAGAGGCCTGATTATGAGACACCACCTGCATGCCCCCTGCAAAGGAATGCTGTGCTTCTCCATTCCTTTCCTAAAGATGGCGAGATTGGCAGGGCACAGAGCTCACTTGAGCCTTAAAAAGGCCATAATAAAGACGAATGGTGTGAATATACTTTGTATACAACCAGAGATATGAAAAAATTACAAGAGAAAGTTATTGATGGATTTAAACTATTGGTAGGTGATCCTCCAGCAGCTCGGTTGAGAATATACTGAGTAGGAGTTGAGGCCAGTTATGTGGCAATTGGAGAAGTGCAGTGTTGTGACTAAAACCTAATTCTAAAGCAGGCCAGAGATGCAAAGAGGACTGGTGCTGGGACTGGGAATGAGGATTGACTGCAAATAGTACAAGGGATCTTTCTTGAGTGACAGACAATGTTTTAAAACTCAATTGTTACTGCATGTGGTGCTACACACCTACCAACCCAGAGACCTGGAAGCCTGAGGGAGGATCTCAAGTTCAACACCAGTTTTGGCCACTTTCAAGACTCTTGTCTCAAAATTAATTTTTTTTATATAAAAAAAAGGGGTAGAGCAATGGTAGAGCACTTGCCTAGCATGTGTGAGATCCTAGGTTCAATCTCCAGCACTACAAAAATACCAAAAATCGAATTATTCTGCTGACTATATGATTCAGTATTTATTAAGAAGCAATGGATTATACACTTAAAAGAGATGACTCGTATGGAATGCAAATTATGTCTATAGTGTAAAAATAAACCAGATTGAGGGAGAGTAGGAAGGAAAAATTACCTGCCTGGATCCCAGAAATCAATCAATCAAACCTTAGCATTGCTTTCTTCTGAGAACCCCAAAGTGTCTTCATCTCAGATGACCAGAAGTTGCTTTCAACCAGATTTTAACACTCCTCACCTGGAAGCACTTCTGCATTCCTGTTTGTCCCCAACCTTGGCCCTCAATCCCCAAGTGTCTCCAACTCTTATTTGATATAGATCCGATGGATATGCAATTACTTGGCTAAGGACCAAGCCCAAGTCACATTTTTCCCTTTACTCTCTTTAGACAGAGCAAAAACTGTGATTATTAATAAGAAAACAGAAGAAAATCTAAAAAACTGGTTTAAATACTAGACTACCTCTTTCCTGTGCATCACTTAATTTCTTTTCCCTTCTTACCAAGTTCCCTATTTAAATCCTTTCCTTAGAACTTAACAGGATTCCAGAAAATATACAGTGGTCTCCACTACTGCTCCAGTTGTAGTTTTTAAATCTGTCCATACACGATTCTATGTTATTTATGAGCACTGTCATACATATTAGTTTCCTTTAGTTGCTGTAACAAAGTTCTACAAACTTGGAGGCTTCAAACAATAGCAATTTTATTCTCTCTCAGTTCTAGAGACCACAAGTCCAAAATCAGTCTCACATACCTGAAAACAAGGTATGAGCAGGAGCTGTGCTCTCCAGAGGCTCTGGGAGAGAATCTATTCTTCTTTTCTCTCTAGCCCCCAGCATTCATTGACCTGTGGACACCGCACTCTAATCTGTGCTTCTGTGGTCATATTGCCTTCTCCTCCTCTGTAACAAATCTCTTGCTGCCTCTCTTTTATGACTTTTTATTTATTTATTTTTTTTGCACTTTGGGCCCACCTAGATAATTCATGATAGTCTTCCCATTTCATCATTCTTAATTTTATCACCTGTGCAGACCTTTTCCCTATACTACCTTTATGATTTCCAGGGGTTAAGACCTGATGTTTTGGGGTGGCCATTATTCAGCCTACTATACTATATAATTTGGGGCCATCTACTTTGGAGATAGGTGGTTCACAAAAGACCCTATTTAATAAATGGCAGTGATTGATTTCATGATTGATTTTTGCTGTTCTGGGGGTCAAACCCAGGGCCTTATACATGTTTGGCAAGAGCTCTACCTCTGAGCTACACCTCCAGCTCAAAGGGTGGAGTTTTAAAGTGGGTCACCCTAACATACTAGACAATATTAAGTCCTCATTGCAAAAGCACAATAGCAAGGGCTTTGCATATATAGCAAATAAATTGTTGTCACTCTCCTTAATTTAATCTGAAAGTATAACTCTATTGGATGAAAACCATTTTACACACATCACAAGTGAATAGATAATTAATTGTATTAAGATTAAAACAAGTGTGGCAGAGAAACAAGAGACTCTGACCTCCCGCATCACTTCTCCACTTCAGTAGATGATCTTACATATACAGCCACACAAATTTGGCTGTCTAGTATCTGAGATAAATTGAAACAGAGTCCCCCCCGCCCCCCTGCCCAGTATCTGCTGCTAAGAGAAATAACAGTTAGTAGCTGCCAGTCACAAATGCCCGAGAAGCCTACCTCACTTTTCTTCAACTTTCCCTTGACTTTACTGAACAGGACGATGCAGGAACAAAACCTGGAGGAGCCTGAGTGTAGACCTGAAGCAGAGTTTTGCGGAAAAGGAGAGTTTCGAGAACTCTGTGCTGTGACTGATGCCTATAATGGGCAAAACGGAGTCCACCAATCGATTTCTGAGAGGAGGCAAGCTGAAAGCGCCCTTGCACAGCGTTTAATGCTGTCTCATTTTGGAGGAGAGGTTACTGACTGTCCAAGGCTAGACTTCTCTTTATCCACAAGTTTTCCTTGTCTCTTCCTCCTGTTTCCCGGAAGCAGGTAGGAACAGAAGTTAGCAGTCCTATTGGGGCAAATTAAATAACTTTGCCTAAGACCCTATGGTCTTCCAGAGATGCCCCGGTTTTACCGCCACCTCACCACCTCCCCGTAGGTTTTGTGACCCCTGAAAACAGCAGTCCATTCCGGTTAAGAAACTCTTTATTGGGCATCTACCATGTGCAAACCAAGGCTCTGGAAGATTCCAGGAATGAACACGAGTTGCTCCCCGGTTCTCCAGAGAACCACCAACCCTGTCCCCCAGGCCCTACCCCGCCCCTGTACCTGCTACCAACACCTCATCCTATGAGACAGGCCGCATCTCCGCTGGGCGCCGGCGGGGCACGGC